CAGTGTCGCAACCGATGCAAGAGTGAACACTGTAATGCACCTACTTACACCCTCAGCATCATGCGTGTTGCATGCTTTATGGCTTCGCAAACTTCCTTGGAAACAGTCTTGTGTTGCGCTCACCCCAGATGAACCCAGCCACTCCGGCTGGCCCCTTGTTGTGCTGACAAGCTTCACACCACACAGGCCCCGAATGTACAGTGAAAAGCGGGTTTTCTGTGGGTGCGTAGGCGTCAGGATGCAGATATTCAGGCCAACCAGGACGCGGAGCTTGGGCGGGATGGGGCAGGTCAGTCTCGCCAAGGCCCACACTGACGGTTCAGAAGAAAACGTAGAAACCCCAAACCTTGCTGCTTCAGCTTCATGCATGCTCGTTTTATAGCCGTTGAAGTATCACCTCGAGAATAGGTGGACCATATGCCTCGCCCGGACTTTTCGAGTGCGAAACCCTGAACACGAAGGTTAGAAGAAATGCGGATGTCAGCCAACCTGCCCCACAAAGCCTTCTCTTCCTGCACAGAACTCCAACTCAGAGTCGTCCGGTACTAACCCACGATTTTCGTGCCGGGCATCCCTTTTTCAATTTCGGGGGCCTCGATGAGTTGCACACCTTCCAGCACTTGGGGCTCTAAGGGCTCATGCTTGCTACAAGTGCCTGTTGGGGCTTGGACCTAGAGAGGAGGGGCGGAATCTTTGGAAGTTTTGTAGACATTCCGAACCACGAGGCTCCCATGACTTGGGAAATGCCCAAGTGGAGGACCCAGACATGCGCTGACCAGGCCGCAATCGAGCCTGGCAGGCCTTCTCGTTCGACAGAGGGTCAGAAGTCCCTGAGTTTAACGAACCGAGGTGTGAGTTTTGAGCCCAGTAGTGAGGTTAGTTCCCGAAAATAGATATGCCACATCCATGGCGAAGCAGCTCCTGCAAACCGATGATTGAGGCCTTATAGGCCTCGGAAGATTTCGAAAGCTGTCTTGTAGCAGCAGTCGTAGAATCTTCCACTGGGGGACTTCGGAAAGCGTTTGTTTCGCTTCTTGGTGCGTGGCCCGTGCATGGGATTTTGTCGGCAGATGCTTCGACGGGTCAGGAACCCTCTTTTGTGGGCCAAGCCTTCAGTGCCTAGATGACGTTATTTTTAATTTGGGCCCTTGAAGGGTAAGAACCACGGAATCCGATGACTATCTTCGGCCGCTAGAGCAAAGCATACATTGATCAGCGGTCTATGTTACGAAACCTCGCATGTTGCAACTGCAATAACGGAGGCCCCACGGTCACTGCTCACGAATTAACGTCAGCATTTGTCGAACCCGACGAGGAGGCACCTAAGTCCCCTTGCATGGCAGTCCTGGGAGCTGCAACCCCAACTAGGGACGAAGCAACACTTCATTTCTGTAGATCAGCTGTGTGTGGGGTCTCTATAGTGGTTCAATAGATGTTTTTTAGTGTTATCGAAGTCTTCGTGGTCTTTGTATGGTTTGATAGAGATATCTTAACAGTTTGCGATGTAACGCTTGTTCCAAATCATCCTGCAGGGCTGCCGCAGCAATTGAAACAAATTCCTTTGGTTTAGGGTTTAGGGTTACCTGAGCTGTGGTTGTAGGTTGCTTCTGTTTGCATAGGCTGTGTGTGCTTTTACCATGTGAAGCTTCCCACGACAGCGATATCAAATCTGGCGGGTACGCAAAATACTCAGCAACCCAAGCTAGATGACGCCTCGCGGAGAAAGCAAGGGAAGCCGGGAATTAGTACGTTTTTCATCTCTGGGGTCCTATGTTACGGTTTTACTACGTCAGGGCTCAAAGGCCCCTAGAAGAAAAAGTCTGGGAAACGCTTGGCCTGTTGAAGCTTCTGCTGCGGTCATTGGCCGCCTTGAACCGGCGAACATCGAAGTCCATGATCCTGGGGGGTTTAGCCTTCAGTGTTTTCAGGGTTTCAACCCAGGCCTCAGAGGCGTCGGTTTCAGACCCCATGCAGATTTGGGGGAACTTTCGAGGCGCTGGAAGGCTGCCAGTGGGGTGGATACCCACCGAGGTGTGACAGAGACAACGAAAAGACTGCGGGAGTTGTCGGGGAGGTAGACTTTGGGATTTAGGGTTCAGGTTTCCGGGCTTAGTCTAGAGTTCCAGCTTTTCGGGTTTAGGAGTTTGGGATTTGGAGTCCCATGGCTATCTATGTCGGTCCTGTTCTTGATATTATGAATATGAAGATCAGAGCCCTCACACATCAGCAAAGCCAGCAGAAACTCCCAGGTCCTAGGCATTACCTTAACCCGGAATAACCTACCTTTTCAAGGACTTATATAAGGAAATCATAAGATGGAACCCTGAAAAGGCACTGTCTTTAGGGTCTAGACGGTCTAGGTATTAATCAAGCATCCTTCACAGCGCGATGGTGCACAAGCCTATATGCAGCAAGATGCAGGGCTTGCGGGTCCATGTGTTCAGCCCCAAATGCCTACCGCTTTCATGCAAAATGTATAAGCACATCCCTTTAGAAAACCCCCAAGATGCAGGTTTGGATTTGTGGGATGTAAAATCATGCAAAAAGACCATCTGTGCAGCGTTGGGCTCTTGGAAGCGCGGCTTCTCTCACCCACGCGTCAGGTTCCTGAGCTCAGCTGTTTGGGTTTCATACATAAGATGCCCAGATATATACCTGGCCTTAAATGGTAGGTATCTTACCTGATGTCGCAAATCGCATAGCACCGTCGTGTTTTCGCTTTGAGAAAGAATGCATGACTATCGACAGTTTGCTAAGGAAGTTCATGCAGCCCAGGTTTAGGAGTTCATGTGTTAGCCTCTCGCCCAAGCCAGCCAGGATCCTTACAAAACGGGTGACTATTCTTAACCCATTCCAGTTTTCACAATTCCCATCTTGCACGTAGTGTTTGATCAGCCATTTGCTTGCAAGCCGGCGAGCTGTTCAACTCCCAATCCGTCAGACCCTTACGATCGATCGCTTCGAGCACAAATGCAGCCTCTCGTCGTTTGCCTTGTGGCGGTGGTGCTGGTGGCGGAGCAGATGCTTGTAGTTCTTGCCAAGAGTGTGACGATGATGCCTTTTGATAGCCCGGTCCCTGTAAGCCATTGTGGCCATACCATGAGTACTAGTGTAATGGCCTCCAGGATCACATGTTGAGCGTAATGCGCCAAGGTGGCCTTGACAGTTTGACCAGCAACTTTCAACCTGTGCCTCATGCCAGGCATGACGTGAACTATGGTCACCATTACCGCCGTCGCCATTATCATTTCGGTTGCTATAACCGCCATCACAGCTACAAAGTCCAGAGTTGCAGCAGTCGTTCTCCGTGCCCCCCCTCGCCTGCTAGCAGTAGCGTCAATAGTCGTTCTCGCCCTTGTAGATGAAGCAGGGGGTAGCTGTGGCAGTAGTAATAGTCGTCGTCGGAACAGGCCTGGTCATCGTCGAAGTTGTAGTCGTTCTAGCCGAGGAGGAGGAGTAAGCAGGAACAGCAATAGTAGCATCAGCAGCAGCAGCAGCGACAGCAGCATGGGCATCACCGTCATGCTCATCAAGATGTTCTGGATTGGGTTGTTCGTATTCGTGCTTTCGCTATACTTTCTTGTTACTTGCTGTTTACTTGGCGATTGAACATCTGATCCACTGGTCGGCTCCAAAACAGGATGGGTGCTCGAGTTGAACGGTCTGTTGACACGCTTGCGTGGCAAGGGATGACAGAAGGAGTCGCCAACCGGACCATGTTCCTAGGAGACATGTCACCGAGGTGCGGTGCAAATCGCCATGGGCAGCTTCAAGGATTGGACGGGGAAGTAGCCGGTCTATTACTGCGCATCCAGCCTTGCATCAGAGCAACACGAAGGACAAGCTGCTGGCGGCTGCAACAATCGGCGGCGTCGTTGCAGTAGGCCTGCCTTTCGTTGTCGAGAGACCTCACCAATACACTCTGTAGAAAAGCCTTTGTATTGAGTTCTCTTCGTGAAGGCGGGCACGGATGGGGGAAAGGCCTTGAGCTACGAAGACGAAACCATGCCGCAACTTGAAGCCAACATGTGAGTTGACACGTGCTCTAGTTGCACGGTGCTGGCTGCTCTTTCACGTGTAATCATATTCCGGGCGCCGGGAACAGCAAGAGCCCCCCACCAGCATGTTGCTTCAAAGCTTCTTCCCGCGATGGTCGCATGACAGGGCAACGGATCCGAATGAGCCGAGCTGTCCAGTTACTCTGGTACACTACCAATTTCCTTTTTCATTTACACGCCCGTGATCACTGGTCGCGAGGCATGGTCTTCAGTTCCAATCCAATGCTGAAAGCAAAGGCCATCGACCTAACGTTCCGCGGCTCAGAATCCGGCTTAGATCAGCTATGCTTGAGGCTTTGTTGCTAGCAAGATGTAGCTGTCCAGTCGACGGTGGCCGTGGCAAGTGTTCGACGAAAGCCACTTGCATGTCAAGTTGGAGAGATGATAAAACAAACGGTTTAGCAAGACCATCAGTGGCACAGGTTGAAAGCAAGCGCGTCCGTAAAGCTGGAATCATGACGGAGCTGAGGCATTTCATGCGCGGCAACCCAATTCTGGGTGTGGCCTCCAAGCTGCAGTGAATAAGCCAACCTTGATCCCCAAGCAACACTGGAAGCCACCAGGAAGCGTCTAAGCATCCTCAGAGGCCGAGGGTATGTAGCCAATACTTAATGCTGAGGACTGTAGCTTCGGTTTCTGTGCTTGTATTTCGATCACAACGTTTCACTTCTTTGGCACTACACGAACTAACGTCTCTGCTGGCGATCTTACAGGCAGTCATCGGACTTTGTCAAGACTTGTCGTCTACGATGCTCGATCAGAAGATACGGGTTCCGGAACCTTAGACGCTGCTGGATTTGGGCGACGAATGACATCTGCTGATCGCTCACTGCAAATTTTGTTGGAAGTTGTCGGCCTTGGCGTGGACTCGACCTGGCAGTTGAACAGTAACTCTTAGCATGCTGGAGGCTGACATAACTCCAAGGCACGACTCTGTAAGGAATGACAAGATGCAACGGGACCCGGATTGGCTTCCAGAGTTGCAGAAGCTATCAAGCGTTATGCCGTGGTGCCGAGGTCCTGCACTCAGCTTTCTCAACGGTCCGGAGCTTGGATGTGCACCCTCCTTTCTTCTCTCGAGTTTGGGGCGTAGGCGCCGAGCAAGTTGCATGATGTGCACAGAGAGCGGTGGCCTTCCCCCGTGAGCCCATGAGTTGTGCAAGCACCGAGTCCTGCAAAGACATAAGTTTCGGATCCTGAAGATTAAGGACCCTTGCTCCGTCATGCTTGAAGACCGCTTGCCTCGTCCGAGGCTATCACTGTGTCCGGTATCCCCTTCTCTTTAGTGGACCTTGGTGCTGCCTGGGTCTACGGCTTCCGGGCGGCCATGTGCCGCTTGCCTTCCAAGGAATTGAGCAGGAGCACATGCTAGCTCAGACATGCACTGCTTCAATGGTTCGGATCATTACTATTGTGGTACTTGCTTGCAGAGATGATTTGATCTTCATGTGGTGCTTACTTGACAGTGTCTGTTACAGGAGGCCGACCCTATTCCCCATCGCTGCGCTGTTTTGGGAGTGTTGCGGACGTGTTCAGTTTCTCGCACTGCTCGGCTACGGGAAGGTCTGATTGAAGCGGTCTGGGCCCCGAGATTCCACTTCAGGAGAGTGCGGGCTTTTGTGGGGTCCAGCGAGAGGGAAGGGACACGAGTGGCCGGAGCGAGAAGGATCTCAGATCTCTTCGCTACATGTTTCAGAAAAGGCTCGGCTCTCGGCTGTTCGTGGCACATCCCCGCCTCCAAGGTATGCTACTTTTTGCGAAGACGCTTCTGAGCTTCCAAGTCAGGGTCCAGGTCGCAATCTTGCACTGTCGAAGGTCTCCCCTCTCGGTTGGATCGGGTTGATAAAAGAAGTGGACGTAACCGACATGCGCCGAGCGTTCGGCCGGAAATCATTGGCGAGTGCCACAGGCGCAGGGGGCATGTTTCCAAGCCCGAGGACGTGCAGACAAACAGTCAGCCTGTCGTGTCGTGCCAGGATCTTCCCCAATAGGCAATGCACGATCGGCCCTGCATTCTTGGTTGGAGCTAGTTGGATGAAGGGAGACGGAGGTTGGGATGTGCAAGATCCTGGAATGTTCCTCATCTACTGTGCTAGCAGCTACCAGTTTCAACTCCGCCGCAACAACCTCATGCATTTGATGAGTGAGTCTTCGGGCATGCAAATTGTTTTTCGGCGGGAGCCGAAAAACGCTATCCGAACTCCTGGCTTGCACACTGTAGTGTCGTTTTCGAACCTTGCCGACCTTGTCCGAGTGTCCGCATCAAAACTACCGTAAGTCCTCAAACCGTGACACCTGAACACGCATAGAATTCCATACACAGCCCTGTCAAATCCGAATAGCCCCATCCAAACTGAGCCAACAAAGGAAGTCCGAGAGCCCAAAGAAAAAAAAACAGAAAGGCAAAAAACAGCCCTTTCAAAGTCCAGAGCCAAGGCTCGGAAGCATCCTTTGCTTCCTTGTGGCTCGGAGCGTGCTGCCTGCGGCCCGACACTCCTCCTGAAAGGGACTCATGATATACCACTTTATGGTAAGGTCTGATCATCCAGCTTCAGATGGAGTTTCGGGACATTTAGGGGCTTTGGGGATTGAAATTTTCCATTTAGCATTAGCAGGGGAGGTTAAGCTTGCTGCAGCGCGAATGGGTTGCGGCTGCACGATAAGCACAAAAAAGGAGAAGAGGGCTGCATGTTTCAGGTGCGCGCAGGTGAGATGTCTGTCATCCAGGTTTGTGCCGTCTTTGCCCTGCAAGGAAAAGCCAGCGTTCTGTCGCATCCCACGGTTGCTCGCGTCGACCGAATACTGGCCAGCAGCCCGATCTACTACGGGAGACTTGGGCTCTGGACTTGGGGAAATGCTTTGAGATTTCACAGCCTGGCTGCATGCTAGATATCCGTGGAGCTTGTAGATTCTGGTTCGTGTGCACGGTTAAGAACGAACACCACCCCGGTGACGAGGACACTCTTCCGGCTGGCGCTGCTTCCTACATTCGTGCCACTTGACGCCGCTAGTTTTTGGTGTTCCGTGGGCATTTGAAGATCCCTGCCCGAAAGCCAAGCAGCCACACAGCCTGCAATCCGAGTTGAGCTTCGTGATCCATGCAAATTCTCAGAGCCGTCCAGGAAAAATTACGGCTTGGCCCTCCTGAACATTAGGCGGGCTCGCTTGCTGCATGGCCGTTGTTCTACTTCCAGTTTGCCAGGTGTGAGAAGACCGAACTGCGGGCTCTAAATCAGCTGCCACACTCGTGGCACCAGCTCTCCCAAGGGGTTTTGGGTGTCAGTTGCCCAAGTTCAAGAAATCGCTGCGTCTAAACTACAGATTGACGGGTCGGCTGTTTGTCGAGGTCTTCAGCCATTTGGCCACCTTCCGAAATTCCTGCAACCAGCACTGAAGCAGTCTCAGAATGGCGGAGTGGCATATTCTCAGTCTCATGACATCATGCTGTGATGTGGCCAGGTTTCCTCACTACCTGACTTGCCGCTTTCCTGCACAACGGACATGTGCTGGCATGTGTCCAACACAAAAACGCATTGACCGCACATTTCACACAGACAGGTACGGAGTGCTACAGGCCATGTTTGTGTTGGGCACGTCCACGCTGTGGGAAAGGAAACCTTCATAACGAAGTCCTTTGCTATTGGAAAGACTCGCGCACTAGACTTAGCAGCAACGTCCCTTCAGCAGCGGAAACACCCCAGACCCTCAACCACAAACCGCTAAAGGCTAAACTCCTTCGACCCGAAACGCCTTTGAAGGAAATTCATGCAGGAACAAAGGAACCCCAAAGCACAGAGGCTGCTTGCTTGGCTCTTGCCTCGGCGTACCGGCGCAGGCTTACCTGGGCTCTCAGCTGCCTGGCTAAGTTTGGGGGAAGGGTCCTTGTTTAGGGTTTAAGGAAAAGGCCTTCAGGGTGTGAGACTATTGGGGCTTCGGAAGCTACCATCAGTTGAGTGGTGGCTGAGCCTTGGAGACTGGTCAAGGCGAAGCAGAGGATTCCCTGAGCCTGAGCATTAACTCCCTTAAGTATTCCCCTAAACCCCAAAAACAGGGCCCCCAAGAGGCGGGATCTCTCGGCGAGGCTCGGGGACATCTACCTGGGCCTCAGGGAAGCCGAGTCGGTCGACCCCGTGATTCTCTGGGGAGGTCCCCGGGAAAAAGGTGGGTTCCGAAATATCACGGTTCAAGTCTTCATATCACGGATCCTGTTATTGAAGGTGGTGCCGTTAGTTTCTCTAAGCCTTCAGTAAACAGCCTTGCGCACCGCGTCTCCGAAGATGCTTTTTCGGAACCTGAGACTGCAGGAACAGGTAGTAAAGTGGACAGAGAAACAAAAGCTAAAGAGCAAGTGTTCGTAGTCTGCAAACCCAAAAAGACCCCAATTAGATTTGTTCAGAAAACCACAGGCAGCTTTTCGACAAGGTCTCCCGACAAATCGGAATCCGCCACCAGCTGGCTAGTGGATGCCGTATACACTTTCGGGGTTTGAGGGTATAGGATAAGGTTTGCATTTAGGGAGTTTGGGATTCAGAGTCCTCGTTGGCCGAGGCATCGCTCCGGTCCTTTTCCTGGTGATTCTGATGCCGACGATCGCCAAAGTCCTGCTCGGACACATGATGCAAGTAGCGCTGTCATGGCATGTGCCGTTGCTCTGGTTGTTTCCCCACACTACACGCTGAACGTTGCGAAACCCGAAACCCGAAGCACAGTCCGCCTACCTCTTTTTGTAGTTTCCCTCGGCCGACGGTTTACACGTGCCTGCACTGTCCGAGTCGAGAGCGCCCAAACCGTCTCGAAGTCCTAGCTCAGGGTCTCACAGGCGGGAGCTGGGACCCCCCAAACTAAGACCGTCCCAGGGCTCGTGCGAAGGCAAGAAGCGAAACCCAGCTTGCTAGGGGCCCTAAGGCGCATCGCGAAAGTGATAGCTGACGCTCTACGTCGACCTCCCTCATTCCCAACTCCTTAACGTCCAAATGGGAGTTTGAAGCCAAGGAAAAGATGAGCCTGAAGCGAGCGCAGAGGCTAAGAAGTCAGAGTAGGTGCCTGCAGATCTTGCAGGTTGCATACACATGCAGAGCTGCAAGGAGAAAAGAGCGACGAGACTGTCTTACCTACGTACATGGCAGCACTCCTTGCTTGGGTACGTCACGTCTTTGGCAGTGCTTTGTTGTTCGTGTGTTCGGTCAGTTCTTGCTTTTCCTGTACGCGTGTACCGACGCATCTAGATGCGAATGTGCACTTGTATCCATGTCGGTAGACAGATACAGGTATGGATATATGCCGAGCGGAAGCACCGGAGATCCAGAAGTTCCCTTTCTTTGCCGTGACTCGCAGCCACTACTGCTCTGCGGCGCCAAAGTGGCCGCGGCCGTTTCAGTTCGTTAGAACTTGCACAAAACGTGGATGGAAAGCCCAGCAGCACCTAGACAAACTGGCATAGGGCCCGAAGACAAGTTGCGTCTTGGAACTTGGAGCCCACAGATCATGCCCAACTAGCCCTGCTTGGCCTTGCAGCATCATGCCCAAAGTGGTCCCGAACCCAAGCTGAAACAGTTCGAACGCCTCAACCTCAAAACATACCCTGGTCACGACAGAGACTGTAACGAGAAGCTGGTTGCAGGTCCGAAAACTTTGCATTGAATTCGGCCCATTTGGAGGCCCAATTAGCGGGCGAAGCCACTCCAGCGATGGCTACCGCTGTCTACGTCGTGTCGGGTGCCAGTGAATGCATTTAAGTCCAAACAGTTTCACAAGATCATGAGTGAATGTGGGCGGAAGATGTCATGGCCGGGAAGACCCACCGGAAGCTTCTGGCTGAAGTTTTTCGTGGCAGGGATGTACGGGGTCTTGAGGGGCTAGGAAGGGCGAAAGGAAGGCTTCGGCAGCAAAAATCGATCACTGCAACATCTGCTGCATCATGCTGAATCCAGGATTCCAGCCGGAACAGCTTTGCTCTCAGGTGCTGGCGGAGTAGGTTCCTGCGTGAATGGTATCTTGATCGCATTTCATGCATCGAGGATGACAGCATGCCTGTGCTTGAAGGATTTCGCAGTCACTTGCTGCTGTGCTTGCCGACCCAGGTGTCTACGTACGCGTCGGTATTTTGAACGGCAAGCCAAAGTACCAACTGCAGGCATTTTGGAAGAGAAGTGAGTGACATGTTGCACGCCAGCGGCCGTCACGAGAGCTAAGTGGGTGCGGAGTGTAGTCATGTGTTGCTCCAATGCACTATGCAACCCAGCAAAGCCTGCTACTGATCAGAACGGCCGCGCCATTCTCTACTTCCAAGATCTGTGGAAAATCAACTATCGTGACGACGAGCCCGGAAGCAGATAGAGAACGGGCAACTGTGGTGCTGACTTCAGGTCTTGCATGTCGCGAATACAGACGTTTCTTCTTTGAAGGCAGCAGCGACGGTTTCAAAGCAAACATGCAGTAATGCACATCGACCTCGTATTTTTGGCCAACCCAGGAGTCCGGCTGGTACTACGCGCACCCGGATGACAAGTCGGAGACACCCCCCTCAGGGGAATGGACCACAGAAGGCTCACCCAAATGCTCATGAGAAGTGCAGGGCTTTTGGGGTTTAGGGTTGAGCACAGTTCAACGGAGACCTGCAACCTAATAAAGGCCAGAAGGATGTCGAGTGGCATTGAAGGAAGCCTGCGGCAGCGAGGACCCAAAGACGTCGCGATGCCAGAAGGCGAAACTTCAGATGCACTGAGACGACCCCAAATCCAAAGCCCGAGTCATCTCTAGGCCTGGCAGCCTCGAGCTTCGTAACTGTGTTTTCGGAAAGGCTTTTTCATTTTAAAGTCTACCCCAAAACCCCACTTCTGATTATGAAGATGTCAAGGACTTTCGCTGTTGCTTTCTCGGTGTCTCCAAAAGTGACGACTCTGAGTTTTTCATCGAACTGGAAGGCTACTTCTTGGGTAACGCCGAGCCCCCGCCCTCCGTGACCGTCGAGCTGCTGACGCAGGCGTGAAGGGAGAATTTGGGATTCGGGACATGGCCTCAGCATACACTTTAGAAATCTCGGACGTAATGCTTGCACCGGTGTCCCAAGTTGCTGTAAGCCTGACCCACAACATCCACGCGCGCCCGAAGGAAATCTGGGTCTCCGGCGCCGGTTGCGTTGGCTGCACCGTCAACGGTCTGTACACCCGGATCGACTCGTTGAATGGACGGCCGAAGTACCAGCAGGTGCCATGAGTCAAAGATCAATCTCACAGGAGCCTTAGACGAGTTTTTTCCGAGTGAGCATGAAGAGATCTCAGGCTCAACCCTGTGCCATATTCACGTCCCAAGGTATCCTTGATCGCCAAGCCAAGACCTGAACAACAAGCCAAGCCCAGGATGCAACTTCTGCCATAGCCTGCGGATTTCTGGAAACGAAAACTCAAACCGATGTCAGGTGAATGGCCGCGCCATTGTGTACTTCAACGAGCACTGGAAGATAAATTACCGCGACGATGCCTGGCCGAGTCGCATGCAGCGGGCACGTAAGTTAAAGGGGCAAAAAATCGATTACAGTTGGGGGGCTCAGATGCTATGAGATTGGAATATATGCGTTGAGGCCCCTTTCCTGGAGCCTTCATAGCCTCATAGCTAAGGTTGGAAGAAGATGAAGAATAAGCGACACCGTAAGTCAGCCGCTCCAATGGCACCCTCCTATTTGCCTTTCCTCTAATGAGACTCCATGGTGAAAACCTGGAGCGAAAGCACTTAAGCTGGATAATGAAGGCAAGTGCAGCACAAGCGTCGAAATAGCTCAGGATGTGTCGGGCTGGTACTATCAACACCCAGATACGACGTCCGAGACGCCACCTAATGGCAGCTTGCCGTCATTCACAGGGGACGTCTATGGAGGAATCCCTATCGGACCTCTCTTTGGTTTTGCCGGCGACCGCAGTTTTGCTTTGGCACCGTGCTAGAGGTGCTACAGGCAGGGATTCAAGCATCCTTCCGGGGATGGACTCTGACGTACCATACATACTCTACAACATATTAGAGTCTAGCTTCGCAGGTCAGGTCATCTGCTCGTGTCCCGGGAAATGTGCTGATTCCCAGTGCCGAGGCTTTTGGACGACTGAGGGCTATTTCTTTGACGATGCTGACCCCCCACCGGTGGTCGCCAGCATCACGCATGAGGCCAGAAGCTTCTTCCAGGGCTTCCTGTGTCCAAGAGCCGAAGTGTCTGGAACTTGTTTAGCAAAGCTTGTGCCATAGTTGTTGCGGCACGGAAGGACGCGAGTCAACAAGACACCGTTCTCAGATGCGCACGCCTCTCAGTGCGTGTGCGCCGTGGACCAGACTGGTGCTGGAATCAGCAAGATGGCGGCACAGGCATCGCAAGAGCTCATGTTGGAGGATGTGGTATCCGATGCCGTTTGCTATCAGGGTGTTGTGCTAAAGTGACCGGGAAGCGCCGTGACTTTCAGCTTACTCTGCGGCCGCTTGCCAGCAAAGGCATTGAGTCTGCACCCCTTTCCTTCACAGCTCAACACGAGGACCTCAACAGAGGAGAAGAATTTGCAAACTTGTAACATAGTCAAATTTGTGGAAAAACGTGTGAGCGAGTTCTGCAAGAAACAGCCTGGCACTCAGCTTGGATGCTCCTGGCCTAGAATCTAATTATGAAGCCTAAGCCCCCAACCCGTGATTCTGTGGACTATGTGGAGCCTTGCCTGCCTTGTGCGAGTGTGAGCGTCGAAACCTTGAAACAAGAAAAGAACTGCACATGCAGGTCATTTCGGGCTGACCATTGAGCGATTGAGCGCAACACCTGGCTGGGTCGGCGTCTTGTGGGACACAGGCTAGGCAACTGCACCGCAGACAGACTCATGCTCGGAATCGTCAGCAAAGCATGCGGCCGTGCGCATGCGGGCTTCACCGGTTGTGGCTAGAGTGCCGCAAGAAGGAGCTAGGTATCACAGAAGTTTGGTTTTCAGTCTTCGAGTTCCGGGTGTTGGAGCTCTGTAAAGCTAAGACAGAGTCAAGGTAGTCTGTCAAATGATGATGTGTGACTCCAGCAGTCCAGCAAACCGGTGGCCATGCATGTTCGAGAAGCCTAGCAGTTTCAGATGGGAATTTGTGCCCACTTAGTCTTCTAGAGTTGGCTTCACAACTCCAGTTGAGAACTAGCTCGGACCTTCCGTGTTGGCCTGAGCTTTCAACACCCCCTCGGAGGTGATGAGAACAACTACCGAGTTGGCCATGACGACCTCCACGACTTGGTCTTGGTCAC